AAACCAAAACATCAATATGTTAGATTTTAGTTCTAGATCCGTCCCTACGCAATTTAATAAATTTTGTTTCGAATATTCTCTCTATTCTAAAAATCATATTTTTATGGTTGGAAATTTTTGCACGTCGAAGTAAACAACATCGATCGACTCATCAATTGTCTGAAAAGCCGTCTTTTATCCAACTTCTCCGGGGATGTGATTCCCAATCTTTTGTCTCTCTTAAAAATCATTTCTTTTTCTTTGTAAAATTATAATTTTGTCAATCATGGAGACAACGACCACTCCTCTGCTTTCCGGTGATGGCGACCGAAGCGGGTGGCTCCGTCGTCGTCTCCGTCTCAAAAACCCACTTTCCTCTGAACTCTCCGGCGCCGTCGGCGATCTAGGAACCTTCATACCAATCGTCCTTACCTTAACTTTAGTCTCAAATCTCGATCTTTCCGCTACTCTAATCTTCACTGGATTCTACAACATCGCAACAGGTCTTCTCTTCGACATTCCTATGCCTGTTCAGCCCATGAAATCCATCGCCGCAGTCGCCGTCTCCGAGAGTCCACATCTCACTCCTTCTCAGATCGCCGCCGCTGGAGCTTTGACAGCTGCCACGCTCCTCCTCCTCGGTGCCACCGGAGCTATGTCTTTACTCTACAATCTCATTCCTCTCCCTGTTGTACGCGGTGTTCAGCTTTCTCAGGGTTTACAATTCGCCTTCACTGCGATCAAATATGTTCGGTTTAATTACGATACTGCCACTATGAAGCCTTCTTCTTCTCCTCGTTCTTGGCTTGGTCTTGATGGTCTTATCTTGGCTCTAGCTGCTCTGCTTTTCATCATTTTGGCTACTGGCTCAGGCAACGACAGAGATGTTGAAGAAGTCGGAGAGAGTTCTGGTGACGAAAGCCAGTCTCGTAGGAGGAGACTGCGTCTTCTTTCTTCGATTCCGTCTGCGTTAATCGTGTTTTTGATCGGGTTAGTGCTCTGTTTTATTCGCGATCCGTCGATATTCAAAGACCTTAAATTTGGTCCATCAAAGTTCAAGATTTTGAAAATCACTTGGGATGATTGGAAGATCGGGTTTGTAAGAGCGGCGATTCCTCAGATTCCGTTGTCTGTATTGAACTCGGTGATCGCGGTTTGCAAACTATCGAATGACTTGTTTGATAAGGAACTCTCCGCGACTAGAGTCTCTGTGAGCGTTGGTGTGATGAACTTAATTGGGTGCTGGTTCGGCGCAATGCCTGTCTGTCACGGTGCTGGTGGGTTAGCTGGGCAGTACCGGTTCGGGGCAAGGAGTGGTTTGTCTGTTGTTTTTCTTGGGGTCGGGAAACTGGTCGTAGGTTTGGTGTTTGGGAACTCGTTTGTGAGGATTCTGAGCCAGTTTCCGATTGGAATACTCGGGGTTCTGTTGCTATTCGCGGGGATTGAGCTCGCCATGGCTTCCAAAGACATGAACACGAAAGAAGAGTCGTTTATCATGTTGGTCTGCGCAGCCGTGTCGATGACCGGCTCGAGCGCGGCTTTAGGGTTTGGGTGTGGAGTTGTTCTTTACTTGCTACTGAAGCTACGGACGTTAGACTGTTCTTCGGTTACTCTGTTTTCCCGGTCAAATGATGGATCGCCCGCGGATTCCGAAGCCGCTCCTCGTGTGGTCTAAATTATTCATATTTCATTTGCCAAACATTGCTTCATGTTGTAATACTTATTTCCCAAACCGTCGTGACCCGATTCTTATCTCAGTTCCTGGATTGTAATCGGACTGGACCGTTGGTGCTCTGTTTCTACTCCATCCCTTAATTTTTAAAGGATTGGACAAAGATGTAAAACCATTAACCAATGTTTAAATTGCTCGACTTTGTACTTCATGATTATAATAATGTGTATGATTAAGAACTTGTGTCCTGTTGACAACTCTTTTAACTATAGAAAGCAGCAAACATCATAACGATGACGCATAAAAGAAGCCAAAACTGGATCTCCCTTAACTCTTGGTCTCTTCTATAGAGGATCATATCCCTCCCCACTCTAGTATGAACATATATATAGAACGCTGGTGTTATATGTAATCTATACTCTAATCTCTCAATTCATCATCACTTAACTCTTAATCTTTTGGCTATCAAACTCCAATGGACTCGCAAGATGAGCAATGCTTACCTATCCTCGACTTCTCCCGTGATAAACTAGTGCCAGGCACAAGTCACTGGATTGAGACCAGTACAAAAGTCCGAAAAGCCATGGAGGAGCAAGGTTGGTTTGTGGCAGAGTTCAACGGAGTCTCATCAGACCTCCGGGACGATTTACTCGCCGGGATGAAGAACATGTATGATCTTCCGTACGAGATCAAAATCAAGAACGAGAATCACAAAGCCTCCCATGGCTACATGTCAATGTTCGTCGACGATTACCAAATCCACGAAAGCTTGGGGATCGATTATGCGACCGAGCTCCAAGCTTGCAAAGACTTCTCTAAACTACTCTGGCCACAAGGAAACGATCCTTTCTGGTACCAAAAACAAAAAAAAACAACAACTTTCATTTCATATGATAAAACCACTAGACATTTGCAGTTGTATCATTCTTGATTTGATTTGCAGTGAAACCACACATATGTACGCAATGGCACTAGCTGAGCTAGACCAGACAGTGATGAGGATGTTATACGAAAGCTATGGAATTGACGAGAAGAAGCACTCAGCGAATCATTCAGAGTCAACTCGATACCTGTTGAGGTTACTGAGTTACCGGAGACAGCAAAACGGTGAAGCAAACACTGGTTTTGTCTCGCATACCGATAAAAGCTTCATGAGTATCCTCCACCAGAACCATGTCGCAGGTCTCCAATTAAAAACCATGACCGATCAATGGGTCGGGTTTAACCCGTCTCCGACAAGATTCGTCGTTCTCTCCGGCATGGGTCTAACGGTGAGTCCAAATCGAAACCATAAACATAAATATTGGAGTGTTGGCTGAATTTCACCATTGATTTTCGATTCTCGATTGATTTTTCGTTGTTGTTGTTGTAATGAAAGGCGTGGAGTAACGATAGGATAAAGCCGTGTTACCATAAGGTAGTGATGAGTGAAGATGAGATTCGATACTCGTTAGGGTTTTTCTCCTTCCATAAAGGGACGATTTTTACGCCGGAGGAGCTCGTCGACGACCAAAATCCCCTCCGATACAATCCTTTCGAGCACGACGGTCTCTTACGCTTCTACGAGACGTACCTCAATTCCATGAAGAAATCCAGCGAAGACCTTCTTCAGATCTACTGCGGCGTCAAGCCCTGACCGGTGTTCATCGCCGCCGTAATGACCGGTGATCGTCGCCGCCGCCGTCAATTCCGATAAGATAGTCTCTCATATTTTGCTAAAAAAGGTTAAAAATAAGTCACCTATTTTCGGCTTAATAAATCACTTACTTTGGGCCTTTGGACATCAACTGATCGAAAGTTCACAAATTTCGGGATTATATTACATTTTGAGATTTCTTGTCACTTGTCGCATATATATAAGTTATATAACTTCAACTTTGAAATGAAATGATTAAAACTAGAAAAAATACACAATTAGCATTCAAATGATTAAAAAAACAACTTTAGTTTTATTTGATTTCAAAGAAATCTGGAGAAAGAGATTCAGTTGGTGGGATTAACGACCCTCATTGCGTCCAATGCCTTGTCGAAAACTTCAAATTTGATTCGGAGATATTCATTCCAAGTAATTGGTCGGTATAGAGACGGTCCAACCGGACCAACTATTTTGGATATAGGTGCAATCTCCACATCACCAGCTGGACCACCCCACAAATACACAACTGAAATTCTTGACCGGGTATGGTTAACTCTGGCTCGATGAACCACACTCGGTATTTTCCCGTTCGATAAAATGTGAAAGAGATCGCCGATGTTGACCACGAGAACACCACGAACCGGCTCTACCGTAACCCAACCGGATTCTTCTCTAAACACTTGTAGTCCTCCGGTGTTGCTTTGGTGCAGAATGGTTAGTATAGTTGAGTCGGTATGAGCGGCTAGACCCATGGCTCGTTCTGGTTCAGGACAAACCGGGTAATAGTTTAATCGTATGGATCGTCGGCCCATTTCTGATCCAGAGTTCTCGGACTTCTTAGCCCATTCAATATCGTCCATGGTGACACCAAGTGAGCCCAATAAGTAAGACAGAAGTCTTCTCGTTAATTTCTCCATTTCGACCTCGTATTCTTCGATTATTCCGCTGCATAGTACCAAACATTTTTTTACCAAATAACTAACAACCAAACATT